ATTTAAAATTACAAAACATAACAATTTCAACTTATGCAGGGTCACCATTAAAGTGCCCACCATATGGGAAACTTTTTTCGAAAAGTTTCAATGAAGTTTAACTTCGGCACTTGTTTGTGCTTTGAATTTAACTTAGAATGATACGGCCAACTGCGACCCACTGACGTTCAGTGTTTGTCAAATTCAACTTTTTTTTGAAAAAAATTGAAAAAGTGCATTTCTAGATCGAATTTAACAAAAAGCTACTTGAAAAAGTTGTGTCTACGGCAATTTTATATCCATATGCCAAATTTTATGCAACTAGGATAAAGTTAACGTTTTGCTTATTTTTGACAGATATCCCCTTTATTTTAAAAAACAAGTTCGGTTAATTGTCATCAATTCATGTATACATAACAAACTCATCATGGAGTTTAACTTTTCTGATACATTTTTACTTATACGGACATTTTTAGAGAGAAATTAAAAATTTGCTATAAAAATTTTAACATGACTGGTGCAAAGTTTCAATCACTTGGCTATTTTCTTAAACAAACCTTTGATTTCGAAAAAGCAGAGGCAACTAAAAAAAATGCAAATAATTTCGATAGAACTATTATTATTATTATAAATTTTAAACAACAATAATATTATAAAAAATACAAATGGGTACAAAAAATTACTTATTGATCTAGTTTCATTGCTGTTGAACGCATTTCAGTGGGAATTTTAACGTTGTTATGTTGGATATACAAAATTACCAAAAATGACGTCATTCTCTTCTTAACGTGAACAGTCTATATAACTTATTTGCTTGAGTATGACAAAGACAGGTTATCGTAAACAATGCTATCTCTCTTTCAACTGCCCCTGACACACCTTCTGCTTTATAAACGGGTCGGGTCCGTTCCAGGTAGTATAGAGTTCACTGATTCGCATACACCTGCGACTTAAGAAAAACCTACAAGAAAAAGTCTAACGCGGTCAAATCGAATGATTTCGGTGGCATGGCATGAGCTGTGTGACACCACATTCGTTGGTGTCCAGATTAACTAGTTCAGGCCAAAATTAGTTGACCTGGCCAACGTCATTTTCAAGGAAATATGTACTGATGACGCCACCAGCTCAAAATCCACAACAAACAGTGACTTTTTTGGGATGTTTTGGACGCTCTTGGTGGGTTGGTATCGCTCCAAATTCGACAATTTTGTTTGTTCACCGACCCTTTCATCCAGAAATGGGCCGCATCGCTGTCTATGGTCGTTTACCTTCAGTTTCTGGGTCTGTTCAATTTTGTACGGATGCAGGTCCAAGTCACGACTCAAAATTCGAAGAGTTGTGGTCTGCGAAAGGCCGAGTTCTTGCGAACGACGCGAAATCGACTGCCTTTAATTCACCTGCACACTCTCACAAACAGCGGCGATGTTTTCGGCAGATCGTGCGTTTCGTTTGTTTGATCGTTTACTAAATCAGTGGAGAATACTTTTCGAAGTGAATTTGAAAAACTCATGAATCAAACTCAACTTTATTTTGTTCAAACTTGCATTTACTGTAATAACCCAAATTGAGGAATATTTCCCATTGTATTATTTGCACGTGTTCTTGAATGCTTTTTCCGTCCATGTTGAATTGGAAAAACGGACTGAATGAATGACAACTAATTTGACAGACGACAGCTTCAACAAGATGGCCGTTATCAATTCGGAAGTGCCTGTTGGAAGACCCCATACCATAAAAAATCTATTTCTGGCTCGCAAACTCAATATCATTAAGAAGACAAAGGACCATGGTTTACTGAAATAGCTATCAGCCATTTTACTATCTTGATTGCTTTACCTTCATCTGTTGTTGACCTATTTTTACGGCAAGCGAATATGTTGGTAAAGCGAAACTTTCATTTGAACATTTTTGGCACATCGTATCTCCGAGAATTACGCAACAATGGTGAATAAGTAGTTGTGTAGGAGGAAATGTAAACGATCGATCAAATAATTTGCATTTACTACAAAATTTCATTTTCCCAACCGAGAAAATATCCAAAGTGTCAAGTATTTATTACTTTTGATTGATATATTACTCGACCAGAAAGAAATAAATTCTATACAGGGTGTTTCAAATTCGATCCTCACCGCTGGGATCTTGGAAGCTATGAGAGACACGAAGATGGTTAAAGTGGGACAAAGTTGCGCATTTATCTGAATAGCATATGCCGTTGAGGAAGTTCTGAAATTCCGAGTATATCCGGAGATATCCGGAAGAAACAGAAATTTCGGAAAAGTTCCGGAAGGGTTCGAAAATAAATTGCACTTCCACATTGCAACTTTTGTCCTGCTACATAATGGTGTTTTCAGATTTGCTATCCGACGTTTCGTCTTCCGGCCACCATCATCAACTTTATTTTTTCTTTTAGGCGCTACATTGGATTCTTTCTCGTTTGAATAGAACCAGATTTTACCCTTTCAATGATGTATGATGAGTTATCAATCTTCTTCGAAAAATTGGAGATATTGAAAAAAAATAATTCGTATCATAATAGGCTTTGACTTTGATGTTTCTAAATTTGACTTTCAATTTGTTACACCCAATGACATTTTGTTATTGTACAAGTCATTGAATTTTTGGCAAAAAATGGCTCTCACGAATGAAGAAAAAAAAAGATATGATACAAATTTATTACAAATACGATGAAACAGTAGGACATCGGAAATGTATTTAAACTTGTATCCCGACAGACGACAACCACATCGAACTATATCCAAGTTATTGGATCAAAATCTCACCGAGTTTGGTTCATTTGAAAAGCCGAGGAAAAAATACTGAAGCAGAATAGACCAGAACTTTTGTTCTGTTTGTTTGTTGTTGTAAGAACTATATAAGTGTTTTTGACAGATGATGAAATACGAAGTCATGATAACGACTAGTACGAGGGGTAGGTACTGTTATATTTCGGGAATAGCAAATAATAACAAAGAATTTTTAGTGAAAATGGCTTAATTGTTTTTTCGAAATATTCCCCTTGATGATCAATACGCTTTTGCATTCGTTCAAACCATCGATTAAAGCAGTATCTCCATTCTTCTTGAGACACATCTAAAACATGGTTTTTGAACGTTGACCACGCAGTTTGCTTTTGATATTCGGGAACAGAAAGAAGTCATTGGGTGCCAGGCCAGAACTGTACGGAGGATGAGTCATCAATTTGATGTTTCGACTGCTCAGAAACTCACCTGTGTAACGAGATTTCTGATATCTCGCATTGTCATGATAGTATGAAAATAATAATATTCAATCATATTATTCAGCTACCTATTTGTCAGTTGTTTACTAACCTCAAAAACTATTTTAAAGTTTATGTATTTTGAAAAACACTTTATTATGAGACTTTCACTAGAACAGATTAACAAATCCGCAACACGTGTTTCGCTGCACAGTAGCTTTTTCCAGCGTGTTCACTAACAAACTGAATTATACATACATTGTGATTTATATATACTTTTTGAAATATTACTACCTACCTAGAAACTAATAATATTCTTGGAACTAATTAATGACAGTTATATCTGAGTTTAAGCTGAGTTTAATGCCTAGGTAAACTAATTATCTCACAATAAAGTGTGAATGTGATGGCATTCTATGAGAATGTATTTTGAAAAACAAGTATCGGCAAACTCTATCTTATATTTTAAAGTTAATAAATATAACACTAGTTCTCGAAATGTAAATAGTCCCCCATCATCGTATTGCTACGTTTTTACCCGTGGGTTGGGCAATAATTCACTAAACTGAATAATTCAAACTAAACTTCACTTCACTTTAAATACACAAATACTTCAACTATTATTTGAATGTCTATCGCCATACTAGATCACTTCGCGTACCGCACTGTAACGTCCACTTGACTTTGTCGATATGCTCGCAGCTAGCGTTTAAATATCGTAATCGAAAGCCGTAGAAATTTTTCCGAAGTTCTATCGAAGTCGGTAGCATTATTCTCGATGCTTCTCGAGTGGCGGGGAATCATCGTACATTCGCGCGCTCTTAGCTACGTCACCATTGGTTTATGGCTACCAGTGGCAGCCGACGTTATTTTCTTTCGGGCATGATTTACAACAGTATAGATTTTAACCTATAATTGTTGCTCTGTACCCATTTATTATATATGTATTGGATGGGTTGGAAAGTTCGTGGGCTAACACATATGGTGGTACTAGTATTAAATCCATATGATTTTTAGTTAACACTAACCTTCAAAAGACACGTGTACAAATGTCACAGCTGTGGAATTATTAGTTTGTGGGATAGAAACTTTTGTTAGCTTTAAGAAAATGGATAAAGGTATTTCGTGTGTTAGTAAGGTATTGCTTTTTGGCGAAAGAAATAGTGTTGAAGCAAAGACTTGTTTTGATAAACATTATTCGGACTTTTTAAACCAAGTGAAATGAGCACCGACGATTATGCAATGCATAATCCACCGTAAAAACATGATTTCATGCGTCAGTATGTGGCAATGGATGAAACATTGCCCCATCATTTTATACTAGAATCAAAACGATCGTCATCTGAGTGGACTGTACTTGATGTACCGACTCCAGAACGTGCAAAGACACAACAGTCGACCGGCAAGGTTATGGTATCAGTATTGCGTATCGATTGAAGGACTAAATCGCGGAAATTATATTTCGAGAAAAAAAGTGTTTCATCAAGAAAATGCACCGTGTCACAAATCAATGAGAACAATGACAAAATTGCACGAATTGGGCTTCAAATTGTATCCGCATCCACTGTATTCTCCGGATCTGCCCCCCAGCTACTTTTTTATGTTCTCAGAGAATGCTCGCTGGAAAGAAATTTAGCGACGATGTAAATCGTCGAAAAACGGTACCGAAAAATTGTGAGACCGCTATAATAGTTATATCGCCTTTGAAGACAACTATATTGAATATTTTTTTTTTATGTAACCCTACAAGTTTTTCAGTCCAACTGTTATATCAGAATATAATACAATGTTTTTTTTTTTTCAGTGGAAAGTTTAATCTACTGGCGCGACCCTAAAAAATCTGGACCCGTCTTCGGAGGAGTTCTTTTAGTCCTCTTATCTCTCACCTACTTCTCCCTCATCAGCGTGGTGGCATACCTTTCGCTCTTAGCTCTGAGCCTAACCATAGCGTTCAGGATCTACAAGAATGTAGTGCAGGCAGTACAAAAAACCGGAGATGGACATCCATTCAAGGACTTTTTGGAGATGGATATGTCTCTGCCCCAGGACAAGGTTAAGGAAATCTCTGAGGTGATCGTTGCCCATGTGAATGCTGCCGTCGTTGAACTCCGTAGGTTGTTCTTGGTCGAAGATCTCGTAGATTCCATCAAGTTTGGAGTTTTGCTGTGGACGCTCACGTACTTGGGAGCTTGGTTCAATGGAATGACCTTGATTATTATCGGTGAGTATTTAAGAATTGAATATAAAAGTTTATAACATACTGGAACTGGATGCAGCTTTATTAATTTTTTATACTTTTTTTTAGCATGGGTCGCACTTTTCTCACTTCCAAAAGTTTACGAAACGAATAAAACTCAAATTGATGCCAATTTGGAAATCGTGAGGACTAAATTAGCGGAAATCACAACCAAGTAAGTGAATCAGATTGAGATTTTNAAGTTAGTAAGTTGAAGGTTTTCAATATTTTGCTAGCCCGGTTGAGAACTGTTGATTTTATTCCCACATATTTTCTTCCAATTAGAAACTTTCCTCCACTGGCTCGCTGTTACCATCAAATGGAAGTGAGTCCGATCCTAAATCGCCTTTCAAAGAAATATTTCGTCTGTTTTTCACCTGGATAAGAACTTAACCCCGTATACATGTGAGCTGAATTGTTATAACTTCATCAAATATTGAAATGTAGGTTTTCAAGGCTGGCGTCAAAGTTTTGGTTGGTTTCCGGGTTTGGCCGTGGTCTTCTTTCGTTGTAATCTCCAAACGTTTCGACTGCAACTGCGGCAGTCATCTTCAGTGTCATGGTCGAAGTATTCTTGACGTAGCAAATGAAACTGTTGACGTGTTAACTGAAACTGTTGATACGTCAAGTTGATAGAAGAGTACTTCGACCACGTAACTGAAGATGACTGCCGCTTGGAGATTGTAACCAAAGAAGACCACGCCAAAACCCGGAAACCAATAAAAAACTTCATTAAATATGTTGGAGGCAAGGGCTGATTTCCTATGTTGAGGATATAGGATGTATTATTCATCGTCTAGCATAGTCCTCACTCTGCTGTCTGTTGAAATTTTCATTTAGTGCTTCACTTTATCATGAAGAATGATCCCTGAAAACTGCTAGTATCAAATAGCTCAAGATCATTGTTCTAACTGTCCATAATATTAACGTGAATCAGATTGAGATTTTTAATTTTTTGGTACAGAATTTATTACCTGTCCCTATTTCACTACCACTAAATTTGAAGTAAATAGTGCTACATTGCTTACATATACCAAAAATTAATACCAAAGTGATGTACTAGTAATGGTTTGACATTTTCAAGGCGATTTTTTTTAAGTATATGTATATTCAGTGGAAAGGCAATTTCTGAATGGAGGAATATCATTTCGGATGAAAAATCCGAAAAAAATATATTTTAACATGATTCAAAAACATATTTCAAGACATTCTCAAACTAATACAATAAACTAACAATGATTCATTACATTCGCCAATATATACCATTCAGGTACTTGATTGAGTACCTGAATTTACAGTTCACAATGCGGATATGCCAATTCAAAAACCGGAGAGTAAATTAAATCGATTTGATCATTTAAGAGGTTGCACCCGCAATGTTTATGCTTGTAAATTTCCAAGGATTCTAAATACTTGAGTTTACAACCCTTCCTTGCATAGTGCAGAATTTCCGTATCGTTTAGATTCGGAAACTTGTGGTTGCATGCCAAGGAATGGTTTGAAAACGTCAAATCATATTTTCCTAGTCTGTCTTAAGCTTATACACTCCAGATTTTTTCCAACTTGTCGACCTTATCTTTGGCATTGAAAAGGAAATGAGATAATCTGGCGTATGGTCTGAATGCTACTTCCACATTGTTTTTTCTGAAGGAACCTGCGATTATTTCTGTTCTTTTTTCAAAATATGTTAGCGTTACCCATTTCTTGATTTCTGGTTGTTTGACCTGAGGATATATTAATCTGTGCTTTGTTACAAGCATAAACATTGCGGGTGTAACCTGTTAAATGATCAAATCGATTTACTCTCCGGTTTTTGAATTGACACATCTGCATTGTGAACTGTAAATTCAGGTACTCAATCAAGTATATATTGGCGAATGTAATGAATCATTGTCAGTTTATTGTATTAGTTTGAGAATGTCTCAAACTAATACAATAAACTGACAATGATTCATTAGTTGTTCATCAGTTTCGTCCTTAGTTTGAGAATGTCTCAAACTAAGGACGAAACTGCAGTAACATTAGTTAGAATTAAAAGTGGTAAAAAACATAGAAATTTTCATTTCTCTTTTCAATATGAGGTTAGATTAAATTTTTCATTGATCACTAAATAAGCAGTTTTAAGTCTATTATGAAATTTTCTTCTGAAGAAAATGTGTTTGTTATTGAATACAGCTTTCTTATAATCAATGAAAATTTTGAAGGTATTTTTACAGCATGATCCCCATATATTCAATAAATATTTAATCCGGCCAAGAATATGTGAGTCCAAAAAATTTTTTGCTATTTTTGGTTTCAATTTTTGACATGCGAAATAAGTTTGTCAATATTTGTATCCTATTTCAATTTATTGTCAACATGAACACCAAGGTATTTCATTTGCATAGTTTGTTTTATTTGTGTATTCTTTATAGAAATATTTATTGTAATATCTTGCTTATTTTTTTGATGAAACGTAATAAATTCAGTTTTATTTAGGTCAACTGAAAGAAAATTTGAGGAGTCATTTTTCAAAAAGTTTCAGATCATCATTAATTGTATTTTCTAAAATAGTTGCCAACAAGAACCATCCAATGTTCCAACAACGAGATGAAAATGTAATCATTTTGAATGGGCCCAAACATGCAAAATCTTGAGCATAGAACTCTTTCATCATATATGGATTATATCTGCCCAAAATCTACAATTATATCTGTTGACTAACCCGTTGAACGAAAATGTTGATTCATGGATGAAACATAGGTTAGGATCTTCAAGAAGTCGTTCAGCCAGTATGTCGCAAAATTACAAATCACCCTTCAGCGCCATCGTCATGGAGTTTATTCCATTGGATACCAGTGTTAATTCTGAAAGGAAAATATTTTAGGTTTCCTCATTACTATTATCGAAAAGCCAGATAACACTTGAAACCACTGCTTCTTCATAAGTTGAAATGGTTTAGAATTCATTGTGGATATAGCATTTCAACTTATTGAAACAGACGTAATATTGAAACCTATCAAACTGATAAATTCATGCTCAATGAATATGTTCTAGAAAAAAAGTGCTTCATGCATAACTTTGTGCTCTCCCCTAATCATGGTGATTTTCATTACTTGTCTCTTAGATCTATTTTTTGTTCGTTACAGTTTATAAAAATAAGGTTGAGTTAGACTGTCAATAAGCTGTTTATTACCCTCGAATAATTTTTTGTGTAATATTTTCAGAATAAAGGCAGCTATTCCAATGGGAAAGAAATCAGAGGAGAAGAAGGAGCAGTAGATTTTCCACCTGCGTGACTAGTAGAAAATTCTCCCGAATTTCACAAACAATTTTATTTATTGTTTTTATTCCATCCTTAAGAAATTACTCTCAATTGTACTCGCGTAGTACAATTATTGTATATAAGCTGTTATTTTAATCATTGTATTTTATTCTTGTTCGCTGTTCGTTTTTTGTAATACATTGTATGTATATCAATGCAAAGATTCTTAAATTTTAACTAATTGGATGTATTACAGAAGATGTAGATGTAGATTTTGTGGTCCTGTTTAGTTTACTTCATTTCAAATGTTTAATTATCACGACAAATAATATTATTAATATGTAAGTCTTCATTTTAGTAACCGCAGATATTTTACCAACTTTATAATTTTGTGAAAAACACGTTTTATATGCTATTTCAAAGTATATATGCGGTTATATGTTGTAAATTTGATGCAATAGCGAAGCAAGCAAGCAATTCAAATGTGCAGAAATACAAAGAAAATCGTCTTTTTGCTATTTTTGCCAATAATTTTTCCAGTCTTGCAAATTTGGAAACTGTTTTGAACACGTTTTGTTTTAAATACTTGCTTGGTATCACTAATAAGCCCAGTTAACACAGACATCTGATGGAAATCCACTGGGTTTCCTATTCATGTCATATCCACCAACAGATATCCATTTCAAGTCCGCTGAGGGATACCTCATGGATTTACAGTGTTGTGTGGGAGTAAGTTAGACTGAAGACAATTAATTTATTAGCAACACGAAAACTGTTTCCACGTTATTTCGAAACGTGAGAAAGCCGTACTAAGTATCTTATATGTATCTATTCACCATAAGAAGATCTAAGAATTATTAAGTACTCTAAATCTAAATAACGTAAATAAAATATCTATTGAATAATATTGACTTATAGTCGGCTAGTGTTATTGTCGTATATGTCTCAACTATATTTATAAGTTATCCTATCAAGAGATTTAAGTGTATGTGAAGGAATGAGAATATAATTCAGACTGTTGCATACTTTTATATAGCTTTGTATTTGCTTTGGAAATTAAAATTGTTTATATCTGCTTTACCACGTTGTTTCATTAAAAAAAATTCCTACTCATCAACAATAACAGTTTTTAGAAAATAAATGTTTCAAACAACTACCTACATCGTAGGTTCTGGTGAATGCCTGCCGAAAAACAACTAATTCCCCGGCTAATGCCACGCTGGATACTGAATTATATCAGACAGATAAATATTTCGAAATTTTGTTTCAAAGTATTTATATTCTAGTACGCATATATCTCTCCTGGCTACAGTCTTCAGACACGGTTTAATCTCGGATTATTAGTACAAGGGACGTTTCTTTCCTGATTGGGACTTTGGTCACGGGATGGAGCTGTTACTAGTCAACAATCATTCTCTTAGACGAAGGTTTCATACATGCAGTTCAGCCGCTTTGAAACTGATCAAATTTTAGGTGCTGTTTGGGTCGGACCTTTCCTGCACTGATAAGAGGTGACACCTCGAAACTGGTCTGTAGGTGATCTACTCAAATAATTTCAGCATGGTCCTGCTGCTGGATGAACGAGAAACATCTGCGAAACTAACCTCTGTGAGACAATCTTGTCAATGTCCAGCGTGGTGTTAACCGGGGAAGTAGTTGTTTTCCGGCAGNTTCAAGATATAAAAAAAATATTCAAACTAATTGTGGAGAATGCAATTGTCAATACATTACAATATTTATAATGGATACAAATAGCATAAAACCCATAGGAAATCAGATATTTGAAATCAATGCCTCATTTGACTAATATTCCTAGACAACGTGACGCCAGAAAAAACACTGCTTCAATGGCTTTTCAATTGTTTCATCCATTCTTTTGAAACCTACTTGTGCAGTATCTGTGTAGTGTAGTACAAAGCTAGAAGCTTTGTATATAGACAAAAACACAAAGAAGTTATTGAGCACTAATGCACGATAGTTTTCTATTTGGATCAATCCTTTCTGGAAAACTTTTTTTATTGGTGACAAGAGGGCGCCATCCTTCGGTTTTGACGAAATATGAATAGAAAGTACGAGCACAGTATTTTGTATACAGAAATACTGTGGTACGAGTATTTATCTGTTTTGATCTCTCTATTTTTTAGGTTATTTCATCTCAAAGGCAAAGCCTCTAGTGAAATGTACAGGTTTTGAATACCTTTGTCGCTGTGTATGTTTTAAATCTTGGAGTTTTTTTATTGCGATAACCTTTACATTGTATAATAAAAATCCTTTTTAGGGATTATAGTTATAAGTGCTGGTCTCACCAAAATTTACATAAAGTTTATCCTGATTTCAGATCTATCGGAAAGGATAATCATTAAACAACTACGAGTCTGTATAATTTTATTCATGAACGTAAATCAAGTCCCAATCCTCACGCCATCATCAACGCTCTGAGTTCTAAAAGTTCCCTAGCAGAGAATATTATCTGATTTGAACTCGCTCAAAGCTGTTTGTATGCGGAACTGTAACCTTGCCTCCATTGCGTAGCCAGCGAAATTCTTTTTAACGTCTTCCAAAGCTCCAATGGCCAGCTCTTTCTTTCCATTCTGCCACTCAATTAGAGCTAGTTCAACAATAGCGTATGGAACAACGTAGTGATCTTCCACCAAACTTTTCTTCATGGAAATAACGTTTTCTAAACACTCTAACCCTTGCAAAGGACTTCCCATGTACCTCAAACAAGCTCCCTTGGCAAGTAAAACCACGGCTTTGTTGTCATTGTCGTATTCGGAAGGGTTGTTTTTGGACTTGATATTAACATTTTTAAGAGCTTTCTCGATGATTTTCAAGATGTTGGTAGAAATCAAAGGCTTCTTCAGTACCTTGAAAATATTCCACAAATACATCATCTCGATGATGGGTATCACTAAGCCACCCTTCTGGGTGAGATAACGTTCAGCCCTTTTGACAGCAATTTTTTCTATAGGCACGGACTTTCCTACTATTCTTTGTTTATATTTCGAGACGTCCCCCATGAGACGATTCACTTCTTCGACTTCTGACGGAGTCAGATCCTTGTCGATCATCAACATAACTGCAGCTTTCAGGTAACTGTACAAGCTCCTTGACCACTTACTATTTTCGATCAATTTGTCACAGTAGACAATCGCCTGTCTCCACTCGATTTTCATACAATGCACCCAAAACAACTCCCAGTNAGCTTGGATGAATGCGTCTTTGGTCAACATATATGCAGCTTCTTTGAACTTCTTTTTAAATCAGTGTTCTTCCCTGTGGCTGATCTCAGCTAAGGACCACTTGATGTCACGATGAGTCCAAACAAGCTCTGCTATTCTCGATTAGCTGGTTTCTCCTTGCTGTGTGTTTCTCTTGTGCTGGGCAATGCGGACCTTCAATAGCCTCTTAGTTTAACTGATATAGAGTTTGGCGCACTCGCAGGGTTACACGTGAATGCACAGTCGGCCTTTAGTGGCCTGGTTTTCGTGGCTGCTATGGATAGTGTTCTCAGATTTGAAACTGGTTCTGATTTTATAATTAGGCCCAATTCTTCTCATCTCATCCTTTTTGACAATCCTCTGACGTAGGGAAGGGCAAGCACTTGTGAGGCTCTTGCTGTCTTCTAGCCAAAGTCTGTTCCACGATCACTTTGGAGTAACCATTTTTATGAAGAGTACTCCAAATGGACAGACGATTTCTTGGTCGAGGCCATCTCATGTATCAAAATGTGCGGTCGTTGTTTGGTCTTGATTTTTTCCTTTTTCAGTTTCAACCATTGATCGCATAATGTATTACCAAAGTTTCTAATGAACATTTGACTTATGTCAGCATAGTTGTAGGAGAAGATGAAATCTTCACGATGTCTACGCTCAAGGTCAGATTCCATTGAATGTTATGTGTGTAGCACGGCGCTGAACGTTTTTCAGCATCTCATATAAAACTAGGCAGCAAATTGGACTTGCATACTCTAGGATGGGTGGAACGTAGTGTTGGCACGTTTGCTTACTGACAAAATATGATTGGACCAGGTTAGATCTAAAGGGATGGTTATGCCTACGACTGCTTTGTAGTGTTTGAGGTAGACGGGGAATTTGTTTCCCGACATGTAAGACGACGTGTTTACCATGCCAATTGAATCTAGGTCTGGAAAATGTGTTGACTGATAAATGGGTTGGAGTAAATGTTGGTATCATCAGAATAGAAGGACTTCAACTCTGAAACTTCTGTTTGTCAGGTAATTTGCGATTCAAGAATGAAGCTTTCAACCCTATAAAATACATTCTACAGCAAAGTCTAGATGTATGACATCACTTGTTGTTTTCTGATCGTAGGTCAGTGCCCAGCTATTCACACAGTGAATCAGATTTGTAATTGTATCTATGTTGTTCGGGTGGTATGAATTGGTTTTGTTCCAGAAATATTGTCAACTCCACAACAGTTATGGCTTTCATAACTTTTGAAGAAACAGGTCTGTAATTGAGAGGGCATAACTTGTCACCTCTTGAAGATGGCTGTCACTGAGGCTACTGAGGCTACTCAGTAGTGGAAATTTGCGCTGGTTTTGTTTTACGTCATTTTGAAGGTTGAGGTCGCATTTTTGTTTTGTGTTGTCTTGTGTTGTTACAGTTGTGAACAAACTTATGATGCTTTGAAAGGTCTAGCATGTTCCAGAACATTTCATAGCATTCAAGACTGTTCTGGAACGTTCCATAAATACGTGAGATGTTTCGAACTATTCCTGAACGTTCCAGACTATTTCCGAACATGCCACGATATTCCAGAATGTTTCGGTATGCTCTGGAATAATGTGGGATACTCTGGACTATTTCAGGGAGAGAAACTTCCTGCTCTCATTTCTTCGAAAGGATGTCCTTCGGGTAAAGAAGGAAACCTCTTTCTTGGATGAGGAATAGAGAGTTCTTAGACCATATAACTCGGTTGATCGTTGCACAGTGATCTGGGATGTTCCGGGGTGTTCTCGAACACTTTATACTATGTTCTGGAATGCTGTGGAATGCAGGTGAATACTCTAGAATGTTCTGGATTATCGTTGTTAAAGCGAACTTGCGAACACAAAAAACTGACGTTGTTTATAATATTGCTGTGATATTGTCAAGCTGTTCCGTGACAACACGATGTTGGGATTTTTCTGTAGAATTACGAGGTATGTTGTTTGTTTTTTTTATCGCAATCAAAATGTCATCTTTCTGCTCCGAACTAGAAAACTATACACACCTCAGTAACTTTTGATGCTTCATAAAGCTCAGATCAGACCTTCTTTGGAGTATTGTGGAGTATTGTTCTCATGTATGGACATGAAAGGACTGGTCATGAGGGGATGTCCACAGGGAGGGGTCTTATCACCCCTTCTCTGGAACATAGTTCTGGATACCCTAATTAATCACCTTAACAAAAATGGATTCTACACAATTGCTTACGCAGATGACATAGTTATCTTGCAGACCGGCAAATTTGTAAACACACTGTGCGATAGAGCGCAGGATGGGCTCAAATTAATAGAAACATGGTGTAAGGAACAATCAATCAATCAATCAAGGATCAATCCCAAGAAGACTGAGATGGTCCTTTTCACCAGGAAAAGAAGTTTAACGGGCTTAAAACCTCCCGAAATTCTCAAAAGCAAACTGAACTTCTCTGAAGAGGTGAAATACCTTGGTACTATCCTCGACAAGAAGCTAACATGGAACTGAGAGAGCAAAAAGAGCATACGTGGCTTATGAGCAATGTCGGAGTGGGATGCGCATGGGGTCTTTCACCCCGTGTGGTTACCTGGATCTACACTGTAATAATAAGACCTATGTTAACGTAAGGAGCAATTGCATGGGGACCGAAAGTTATACAAGCAACGGCCATCCAAAAATTATATCAAATACAGCGACTGGCTTGTTTAAACATCACAGGAGCCATGAGAACAACACCAACCGCGGCAATGGAATTAATCATGGGTCTGACCCCTCTGGATCTATACGTTAAGGAGGTTGCGTTAATGGAAATGGTACGATTGCGCACGGCTGGTGTAAACCTCAAAGTAGGAATGGGTCAATTGAGGCTGGGCCTATGGCGGGAAGCGCTCACTGCACAACCCCTACTGCAGGCAACAAGTGATGCAATTGAAGCCAAGTTTGTGTTTAATAAACCCTACGAAATACAAATCAAGCAGAACACAGAGTCAGATGCTACAAATGCAATACGGATTTATACAGACGGCTCAAAAACCAAAGAAGGCTCAGGATGTGGAGTGTACTCCAGATCACTAAGCCTAAGGATTAAGTGGGGAATGGGAAGAAATACCAGCGTGGTCCAAACAGAACTGGCTGGTATCTCAATCGCCACAAAAGAAATAACCAAGAAAAGAATTTCTGGCAAAAACATAACAATCTGCACTGATAGCAGACAAGCACTATTAACCTTGAACAGACAGCGTGTTACCTCAGGGTTAGTATTAGAGTGCCACCCAGATTTACCCAAAGCCTCGCTAGATAATAACATTATCCTGAGATGGGTTAAAGGGCACGACAAGAGTAAAGGTAATCGCATTGCCGACTCTTTAGCCAAGGAAGCGGCTGGACTAAGAATTTTAGGAACCAGTGGCACCCACGGCCTGATGACTTCGACAATTGCGGAACTAGTCAAATGTTACACCCATGCTCAATCCTCAAAGAGATGGGATGGAATCAAAGGAAGTAATCTTGCCAGGATCAACTTGGGCGACCCTGGGAAGCTGGCGCCGAAAAAATATCTGGCGATGACCAGGAAAAACCTATGCCTTACAGTAGGATTTCTGACTGGCCACTGTCAACTAAAAAAACACCTCCATAATAAGGGGCTAGTGGACACACCTCTATGCAGGATGTTTGAACAGGAAGATGAGACTGTCAGGCATGTCCTGTGCGAGTGCCCGGAGTTATTGTCAATAAGAGAGTGTGTGTTCGGCGAGTCTTGGCCTACACCTGCCTATATAAAGTAGATGTCTCCCATTGACCTGTTCACTTTCCTGGAAAGGACAGGATAAACGATGACCTAGGAGGACAACTCCTCAGGAGGATGTACAATGGGTCACATGTGGCCTAAGTGCGTGGGCCTACACTCACCCTCCCTACTCTACAGATACAGATAGAGATGTATGGAGCTCCACCCTCAAATATACCCTGAAGCTGCTGGATACCATCCAGAAAGGAGTCATCCGCCTAATTGGAAACGCTAACATCATGTGCAACCTTGAGAGCCTGGAACATCGAAGAAAGGTTGGAGATTTGTCTCTCTTCTATAGATACTTTTACAGGAGGTGTTCAAGTGACTTGGTACATTGGATTCCACTAAGAGCGGTGCATATCAGAAATACCTACGCGACGGACTGTGGCTGCTCATCGTTTTGAGGTTCAACTCAGTACACGTCTAAAATCACTGTTCAAGAAGTATTTCATTTGGAGAACTGCGTTTATGTGGAATAAACTTCCTGAGAACGTTCTTCCAAATGGATAAAATCCCCAGCGATTTGAATCCACTGTGATTCGCTACTTTCGCGCAGGCACCGCTATTAGAACGCCTCAAGGATTTTCCTGTGGTGCGACGTTTCGATCGACGATCGCTATTAACTATTCATATGTCAATATGTCTTTGAGTATTCTTGAATCTTTTATGTATATACAAATGGAGATAGGTATATGTTAATGAAAATGACGCCCTAAAATGAATGCTTTGTGGTTCAGCCAAGCATCACTCATGAGATCAACAGCAACGCCGTTTGCTGTTGAATCAATAATGATTTGCTTTTGGGTTATGGTTTCGTCTATTAAAACTGGGTAACACTCACACCATATGGTCCTCCTGAATAAGAAAGCTGCAAAGATGTTATAGAACACGACCAAAATATGTTGCTATTTCAAACATCAGTTATTGACTACATCCATCCCGAAAGATATATGCTTGAAATGATCATTGAAAATATATCTTTTTGAGAATACTAATTGAAAAATGATGAAGATTTATTTTGATTTTCATGAAAAGGTTTACAAAACAGTGATACGTGTTTCGCTACACAATAACTATATCAAGCAAAATATCAGCTATATATACATAGGACAGGTCCATTTGATTTTAAAATAATGACAGCAACAAGTTGAATTGATATTTTATCGATTGTATCAAAATAAAAACAGTTAAGTAACTATTCAATTCTCAAAAAATAGAACAGACCCCAATAATGAATGATGATTCTGATGATGCTTATGAAATCTTTTGATTCTTGTTCTTCTATAACAAAATACCCATACTCTCAAACAAATGAAAGCCATGATCCCATATTCACTTGGCAAATTTGATTAAAAAACGTAGTAAATACTTTCATTTTGAATGAGTAGCAGACAAACCTGAGAAGTTGTAACACTTGAAGTGTTATTTGGCATTGATGAATCCTGAATTGATGTATCCAAAATGATGTCAAAAAGACGTGTGAAGAAACTGTTCCTCAACCGTCGGTTCTGATCAAAGAGTACTCTTCAGTTCTGAGACTGTCAGTTCTCATTCGTCAACTGTTAGTTTTGATACATCAACTGTCAATTCTGGTTCATAAACTGTCATTTAAATGTTTTGTGTGAAAACGTAACTTGGTACATACTTTTGAACTCAAAAAGTTACTTTTTGTTACTAAATTTACGCCAGAAACAATACTGTTCCAATGTCTTTTCAATTGTTGTTTCCATATTCTCAGAACATAGTTGAGTAGGCATATGAATTGACAACAGACTAGACAATGAATTTTTGATTGCTTACCTGGAAGTCACTCAGCACAATGCACGATAGTTTTCTATGTTTTCCCGAAAACTATTTTCTTTGCTAAGAAGAGGGTGCCACCTCTCAATTTTAAGGTAATATGTATACAGTGCATTTCTTTAATGTCCTCCCCCTTTCATTTTTTGAAATTTATCTCGAAAATCAAAGCTCCCTAGTGAAATTTACAGTTTTTGAATAGCTTTGTATCTGTGTATATTTTGAATCGTTTGCGATAACAATTATAGGTGCTGGTCTTACCAAAATTCACATAGGGGCATCCTAATTCCAGATCTAACGGTAAGGGTAATCATTGAACAACTGCAACGTGTCTTTATATTTTTATTCAAAAACATATATCCAGTTCCAATCTCAACACCATCAAAAACGCCCTGAGCTGGGAACATTCCCTAACAGAGTATATTATCTGATTTGAAATCGCTCAAAGCTGAATGTATGCGGAACTGTAACCTTGCCTCCATTGCGTAGCCAGCGAAATTCTTTTTAACGTCTTCCAAAGCTGCAATGGCCAGCTCTTTCTTTCCATTCTGCCACTCAATTAGAGCTAGTTCAACAATAGCGTATGGAACAACGTAGTGATCTTCCACCAAACTTTTCTTCATGGAAATAACGTTTTCTAAACACTCTAACCCTTGCAAAGGACTCCCCATGTACCTCAAACAAGTCCCCTTGACAAGTAAAACCACGGCTTTGTTGTCATTGTCGTATTCGGAAGGGCTATTTTTGGACTTAATATTAACAGTTTTGAGAGCCTTCTCGATAATTTTCAAGATGTTGGTAGCAACCAAAGGCTTCTTCAGTACCTTGAAAATATTCCACAAATACATCATCTCGATGATGGGTATCACTAAGCCACCCTTCTGGGTGAGATAACGTTCAGCCCTTTTGACAGCAAGTTTTTCCATAGGCAAGGACTTTCCTGCTATTCTTTGTTTATGTTTCGTGACGTCTCCCATGAGACGGTTCACTTCTTCGACTTCTGACAGAGTCAGATCATCGTCAATCATTAATAAAACTGCAGCTTTGAGGTAACTGTACAAACTCCGTGACCACTTACTATTTTCTATCAATTTGTCACAGTAGACAATTGCTTGTCTCCACTCGGTTTTCATACAATGCACCCAAAACAACTCCCAGTAACAAACGTGGTGAAACTGAGGCCAGATATTCTGTGACTTCCAAGACTTGAGGTACCATTCCTGGCCAGCATCCAGGTTTCCTGAGACAAATTCTAAACGTCCCATGAAGAATGAAAACCACACACTATCTGGATGTTTTTCCAACTGGTTTCGTATTATATCTCTACACGTCCTCATATCACCTTCTCTATGTCCGAGAACATGCAAAACTATTAAATTGTAGGCCAAAGTGACCATAACAGAAAGGATTTGTCTCATGCCTTCAGATTTTGCACCAGCGTCAAGCTCTCTCAAACCAAGTTGCCTGTTTCCAGAAAATCCTATCAGTTCCAGCAATTTCGTGACTTTAGCCGGCATCAAGGAAATCATAAGATTAAAGGAACCTATTCCTGCTTTCACACCGCTTTCGAAGTGGTTTTTGGTGGAGTCGCCATCCCAATTTTTTTTCAATAATATTTCCTGGCAGTCCTTGAAGGCGTTGAAGCAATTTCTCATCCTGATACCCCCTTTGATGATACCTGTCAACGTTTCATCTCCTGCGAAGGTGAGAACAGCTCTTAACATGAGACTTTCCGCATAACAGAGTTCGGCGTGAGCTTCCATGGTGGTGTACTGCGCATACTGCGTGCCTCTTACCGCATTTCCAATTGACTCTCCTATAGTATTCTTCTTGCGAAATCTGTTGCTTACAGCCAGAGATCGCTTCAAGGCCGTGACTGCCAAGGCAATGGATTCTTGTTCGAAAGTCATTATGGCTTCCAAAGACAGAAACATTGCACTTCCAAGAGAGTGGTACATACTCACGTCCTCGTGAGATTTCATTGAACTTTTTGCCTCTTCAAAATTGTTATTGAAGAAGTCATTAACAGCCCTATTAGCCTCATCCAGGGCCCGATTTAGAGTCATATCAGCTGGAAGTGGTAATGATTCTTGGGTGTCTTCATATTCTTCATTGTCACTCTCTGATTCGTATGCTCCAATCGGTTGTGCCATTTTAGTGTGACAACTTATTCAGTACAAATTTGATGAAATTGCAAACACGCACCTTTACTGCTAAACACACGAAGCTGATTATTTTACTGTTCTCTGAATTACAATTGTTTTGAAATAACTGGAGTCAATGAAAGGGTAGATAGATAACTGTTTCTAAAAAACTTCTCGATGAAATTATCTTTTTTATTTATTCGGATTTGCGTTATCTTAGGTACTTCAGAATAACGTGTCTTACTGGATGTCGCGTTTCTCAAAGTAAAGCTAGTCAACCATATTTCTTATCATTTGGCCAGTTAGACTCTTAACAGTTTAAAACAAACTGCCAAAAAATACCGGGTGTCCCACATTTTATGTGACAGGCAATATCTGGTTTGTTGAAGGAGATACACAAAAATGTTTCATACAAAAGTTTCAGGAGTTCATGAGAGCTATATTTTGATATAATTTTTAAATATACAGGGTGT